AATTTTCTGTTTCGTTGCACCCCATATATATGTGTATATATATACTGTATATATATATATTTATATATAATATTTTGCTCTTTGAAGTGTACTTCGGCATACGTGCTTCATTTTTAGCTTTTAGCTACTGTTTTGCTCCATCTGCAGTAAAGCTGTCCGGTTCTTAAGGACGGAATCTGCTGAACATAATAACTCTCACCAGTTGCGGGTTTAGCGGCTCTCTGTAGGAAGTTCTGCTCGTTGAAGATCCGTCCATCTTTAGCTCCCTAAAATAATTAAATAACAATTTAAAAACCAGACAATAAATACAAGAAGAAAAGAACAAGAAAATAAACTGATCCTGTCCAGGAATATGATAAAAACGATGTGTGTTGATTAAAAATCCAGAAGTAATACAGCGTTTCTTTATTAATCTAAGAACTCCACAGAAAACATGTTGGCACCGACCAGTTTGAGGATGTGATCCGATTCTTTTAAACTGGGTCGTGAAACTGGAAGAAAACACATCACAAATATTTGGATATCGTTTCCCTCAGTTCATCATGTTTAATATGTCAGCTCACAATCATCACTCAGCTGCCATTATGCTACCTTTGCCTTTTAGCCAGCTCTTTAGATTTTAGCTGTTCTGCTACTTTTAGTCAATATGCAAACAACACAAACAAAACAAACTCTTTTTGTTTCTCTTACTTCCTGAACACTCCGCTCTCACCTTCGTAGAGGAGCTCCGTCGTGCTCCGACTGAGCAGCTTCATCAGTTTCCACTTCCTCCCCATCGTGTCCGTCACCTCCTCCCCGTCCTGCAGCGGCTCCACTGTGAACGTGTGCTTCACCTTCTTCGCTTTGCTTCTTCCTGCTGCTGCTCGTTTGAATAAACATTTAAAGTTAATCTCATTAGCCCGGGTTCCATATAAACTTTGTGTCCTGCAGCTAACATCATGCTAAATCTGAAAAAATGACAGCTAACGAACAAAAAGTAAATAATTTTAATTTTTTTATTTATATAACCAGTTTTCAATAAGATGTATGACACACAACTGAAAAGATTGAAGTGCCACAAAAGGGTAAAAAC